TCTGGTGGTGGAGTAAAAGGTATTTCTGGTTCTGGGAATGGATCAAAAGAAGTAGGTATAGGGGCAGTGGGTGTGGAGCCATTAACAGGGTGTAGGTGGTCTTTCTTGTATGGAAGAATCTGCTCATAGAATTTCACATCCCTAGAAACAAACACTGCATGATTTGACAAATCTAGCAGCTTATATCCTTTCATGCCTGGGGTAAAACCCAGAAACACACACTGTCTGGCCCTTTTCTCAAACTTCTTCCTTCCTTGAGACAGTGTTCCAGCATAACACAAACAGCCAAAGACTCTCAATACACTATAATCTGGTGCCTTTCCATACAACTTTTCAAATGGAGTCAGATTCTCCAACAAGGGAGTAGGCAACCTGTTAATGAGAAACACTGCATGCAAGACACAATCTCCCCAGAAAGATAATGACAACCCTGCTTGAAATCTCAAAGCCCTTGCTACATTAAGAATATCCTGATGCTTTCTTTCAACTCTCCCATTCTGCTGTGGGACTTCTACACAGGAAGTCTGATGTAGTATTCCATGTTCACCATAGAATCCTGGCATGTGAAATTCCAAGCCCTGATCTGACCTTATGGTCTTGACCCTTTTACCAAAATGAACATTCACCATAACACAGAAATCTTGAAGCAGTTTTCTAGCTTCAGATTTAGCTTTCATCAAGAAAACCCATAAACATCTACTGTAATCATCAACCACAGTTAAGAAATAACGAAATCCATTGTAACTCATTACAGAATGTGGACCCCAAATGTCAACATGGACCAAATCAAAGGGTTCTACAGATACTGAACTACTTAAGTCAAAAGGCAGTTTCTTTTGCTTAGCAAAATGACAAGTCTCACAATGGTCTATTACATATTTTTCTACTACAGGATTGGATTTCTGGATGATGTTTTGTCTCAATGCAGAGGGATGTCCTAGCCTGGAATGCCACAGATCAAGATTTTGTTGGGAGAAGTTATAAGCTGCTGCTATGGTAGGATGATTGTTTCTGGCATCTCGGATTGGAGTAATGCATTGAGACATTTGGTAGAGACCTCTAACTTGATGGGCCAAGCCAATCCTCCTCCTGGTAAGAAGGTCCTGAATTTCACAGAATGAGGATTTGAATGTGAGTGAGACTGGCAAGGTTTTAGTTAGTTTACTAACAGAAATGAGGTTGAAAGAAAAGGATGGGACATAGAGAACTTGGTGAAGAACGAGACTACATGGTAATCTGACAACACCTATGTGAGTAGCCTCTGCCTTTTGACCATTAGGTAAGGTTAGGAACACATTTTTGATTTCTTTATGTGCAAGAAAGCATGATAAATTGCAAGATATATGGTCTGTGGCACCAGTATCAACAATCCACATATCATGCAATCTAAAAGACTGAGATTGTGTTCCTGTGGAAAGAGTTAACTTGCCTGCAAAGTTGGGGAAAGTAGGCAACTGACGAGAAACAGAATTTGCCTGTGGTAACATTCCAGGAGATCCAGGTCTTGTGGAACTTGGAGAAGTAGCAGGAGAATGCTGCAACAAATTCAGAAGTCTGTTACAGTCTTCAGTACTGAGTTTGAGATTCTTGTATCCTGTCCCTTCTTCATCAGAATTTCCTTTAGAAGAGGCATCTCCAGTTGGATTTGACACTGAGCCAGCAAAGTTGCTGTGACCTGATTCCATCATCTTCTTGTTTTTAGCTTTCAGCTTCCAGCAATCTTCTTTAACATGGTTGTCTTTCTTGCAATATCTGCAGAAAAGTCCACCTTGAGATGGTGCTGTACCCTTCCTTTGATCTCTTCCCCTGCCTCCATCAACTGCTAGGGCCATTCCTTCATCTCCTTTGGTCCCAGTACCTTGTGGATCTAGCTGTCTTTCATGTTGCAGGACATAACTGAAGGCAGATCCTATGCTAGGCATGGGCTTCATCATCAACAGGTTGGTACGCACCCCCTCATAGTTGTCATTCAAACCAGTAATAAACCTCATAACATAGTCATCATGAATAAACCCTCTAAGGGTATTAAGAGCCACAGTTGCTGGACAATCTGCTTGAGGACAAGCACTACACACAACTGTCCTATACTGAACATATTCTTCCCAATATGTCTTAAGTTTAGTAAAGTACTCATTAATGCTAGAGCTGCCTTGCTTGCAAGTAAAGATCTGAGTCTGTAGATCTACCAACCTAACTGCATCAGCCTGTCCATACCTCATTTTCAGATCTTCCCAGATCTGATATGCATTCTCAGTACTAGGGACACTCTCAGCAGTAGTTTCATCAAGAGAGTTAAGAAGCCAGCCTAATACCTGAGTGTTGTTAGCATCCCACTCTTCAAAGCTTGCATCAGCAGCATCAGGTTGTGGTTTTGAACCATCGATGTATCCAAGGCGTTTTCTTGTCTTGAGAGCTATCCTCAGATATCTGCTCCATAAGTTGTAGTTCCTTCCATTGAACTTGATTGAGACAATAGACTGTGGCACCAACTGATCTGTTGAGCTAGAAGAGTTGGTTGAAGTAGCCACCGTAGAGGACTGTGCAGGTTCAATGCTCATGTTGTAGAAACCCTAGCAGAGTACTAATGGTGCTCTGATACCATAAGAATAGGGTTGTGTGAAACTTTGTTTCATTGAGTTGAAGAGAAGCTTTACAAGCAGTATATATAGGCTACACTACTGAACCCTACCATTTACAACGGTCACTAAACAGTAATTAACTAACTAATATTAACAAACAATTGAAAACAACCAATGGAAAGAAAACAGGTGGCTAAGCTCGATTGAGCTAATGTAAGTGAGAAGTGGGACGACGTCGTGCTGTGCAAACGACGTCGGAACGTGCTTCTTCAAGCAGCAGAGACCCAGGCTGATCTCTGAAGTGGGCTTCGCCCCTTTGTCTTTGTGTGGGCTTGTAACTCAGCAGCGAGGCCCACTGTCCATCTTCTTCTTTCCTTCAGACGAAGTACCTCTTCCCTCCGATCATTTTCATCGCAAGGTGGTCTGAAGTCAAATCGACAGCCGCGGCTCCCGGGTTAGAGTGGCGATGGAGCATGCACAGGATCTCATTAGCGCGGATGGAGGAGAAGAGACGGAGGCGGTGTTCGAAGAAGATCTCCAGGTACATAATCTCAGCTCAAACAGGATCTCTAACTTCTTACCAACAGACAACCTCCCACGCGGCGGCAAACACCACCACCCTCCACATCATCAATTTGTGGGTAATTTCTGGTTTCCAGTGACCGATTCTTGTAAATGTGCAGAAAGAATAATTCATGGAAGAGATTGAAAAATCGGCAGGAGGAGGCAGAGGGAGCTGGGAGGCCGAGAGATGATGTTTCCAGAATCTGTGGGGCTCGTCGATGTTTCCAGAATCTCAAGCCAAGAACCAGCACTCGAAGACCCATCTCGTCGGAGTCGTCGACTAAGCTCACGGAGACCTCGGCACAAAGAATCTCAGAGCGGGTCTGCAGCGGTCGTTAAGGATTCTTGTGGCCACCGAGCCGCAGAGGTCGGTACCCATCGCAGCGACGGGCAGAGGCTGAGATGCGAAGGGATTGAGGAGAAGGAAATCGAAAAAGACGATCCAGATGGGTCTCCTGGGTATAGGGGTGGGCATCCGGTTCGGTTTCAACTCTCCGAACCGAACCGAAGCCGAACCGACCGAAACCGAATTTCTCACTATTCGGATCGGAAATCGGAAAGGAAATACTCTTAATTCGGAATACAGAGTATGCCAACCGAACCCGAAATTCCGAGTTCCGAACCGATAAACCGAAAATACATACCCAACTACCACATCCTGCCAGGCCCAACAAATTAAAGAAGCCCAGCTGAGGGTCAAGCCCAGCAACCGAGACTCAAATTGAAGCCCCCCTCCTCCAGAATCCAAAGAAAGAAAGACCCAACAATAACAAAACCTAATCCTAATTCCATCTCTCTCTCCCTTTGTCTCTCCCTCTCGTCCGCCGCTCACCACAATCACCACTCACCACAATCACCACTCACCACCACCGACCGTCTCTCACTCTCTTTCGATCACTCGAAACCTCAAACGGTGTACCCACTACACAGCTCCTTCTTCATCGCGAAAAACGAACTCTGGTGTGGCTTCTCGGCGGCGGCGCAATCGACAAGGAGAGGTGGTGCCGCGACGGGATCAGCAACAGAGACGAAAAAATTAGCGGTGGTGGAGCCCCTGCATGCTCTCCCATGGCTCTGTCTTCTCTTTGCCACCGCTTCCTCTTCATCAAAATGGGCGAGCGGCGAACTTAGTGCTCCAGATCTGGGGAGAAGGCGAGCCCGGTGGCGGAGGGAGCTCATTGCGATCTGCGCGGCGGAGTGCTCTAGGCGGCGGAGTGCTTGGTAAGGGTGGATTGATGGCCTGTTGTTTTAGCAGAGAGAGATGGATGGATTGAAGAGGGTGATATGGGAGAAGGAAGAAGAGAATGGGGAGAGAGAGTGAGAGAGAGCCGAGAGGGGTAACAAATTAAGAAGGTGAAAAAAGAATTCTCGGGTGGATTGATGGCCTGTTGTTTCATTTTCAATAATTCTTATTTTTACTTTTTAATGTAATTATAATAATAACTTCATAAGAAATGAAATTTTCCACCTAGGATTGGTTTAAACAAAAAATTGCCACGTCACTAGAAAACGTTAGTACAGTCAGCATTTATGATGTTGTCGTTAAAGTTTTGGACGGAATGGCTATACGAGTGTATTTTTCAAAAAGTGGCTATATTTGTCACAACGCGAATAGTTATGGCTATGAAAGTGTATTTTGCCTAAATTTTATACAATGATATTTTAGAACAAACAAACTGGACGTATAATCATGTTGAGGTTTTGGAGAACTTTCTCTGAAGGATTACAGTGTTTGTAAAATCGTATTGTACTAATGGTGAACGGTTTTTAATAATATCATTATCAAATGATTCAACCATAATTAAACTACAATTTCGGTACAAAATATCACACTATTACAATCTTGCTGAACAACGACTACAAGACTGACTGAGACACACCAAACCAGTTCCAGTTCTTCGTTTTATTATGATAACAATAATTATTTTACAAATCTCCATATTTACATAATCAGCAATTATACATTTTAAAACATATATATCAATATTACATTACACCAGAGAGCATACCACTAGGAATTTCTCCCCTCATTTATTCACTTCACATTTCCTCTCACAAACCAAACACACACGAAACCATAATTCCCAGTTTGGCACAAGCACCACCAGAAGATACTCTGATACATATACAATACAACTTATTCCTGTACATATAGCAAATGGAGAGTCTTCATGAGCCTGGCCTTCACTTCTCGGGCTCCAGGAACTGGCTGCAATCGATTCCTTTGACAGAGAAGGCTTCGACGAGCTTCGGGAAGAGCTTAGCAAGCATGATCTTGAATCCATCAGAGCTCCCCTTTCGAGTTCCTTGCGCTCCAAGCTGCCCATCTGCTAAGATCGGTTCTCCTCCATCCAGGTACGCCTTGCAGGACACCAGAATGTCGTGCGAACGTTGCTTGATGTGCTCCTCCACGAGTGCCTCAAAATGCTGTTCATTTTAGATGGGTCAACCACGAGTTTGTCTACCGATTATGTAAGAGAGATAAGGTTGATAGATAGGTTGCAGACATGATAAAGGCCTTTCTTTTTACCTTTGGTGGCTTGCGAAGCAAGTAAAGCATGGACTTCCAGGTCACAAGGAAGGCATTCTCGTTGTAGCTTACTGAGTTCTTCTCTCCCTCAGCTTTACCGACCTGGTTATCATAGCCAGCTTCGTTAAAGTAAGGTTTTTCGTTCAGGACGAGGGCCTGGAGGGAGAGAAGAACTTGAAGAACACTGGAGCTCTCTGGATTCCAGACTTCAGTGCCTGTGCCTGTCCATGTGTTTAGGAGACTGAGACAGACTTTTCCTGACTCGTACAGATTGGGGTTGAGGCGGAGCCCACCAGAACGATAGTGCACCAGCTGCAATGAAATTTGTAGTAAACACAACATTCTTCAGTTGCTTATCAAAATATGAACAGAAGAAAAAAAAATGCATCAAGAAAGGTGAAAGCTTCAACTCACGGGTGGTTCATGGGGATACTGGGCAGGGAGATATATGTCGAAGAAGAAAAGGCCATTGTGATATGGAGTACCGGGTGCTCCAACAATGGCTGCTCGAAGGAGATTTATCTTCTCCTCATAGATCCGGACATAAATGGATTCTGTTTAGGTTATCAAAAGACCTCAGAGTGAGCGACATCGAACTAAAATACGATGAAACAAGTGACCATAAGATGTAGAGTGCTAACCAGGAAGATTTTCTGCCAGGTTACTCCATTCCTGCTGTACCCTCTTCAACCAACTTCTTTTCACCTGGAAAAAGTGAGAAAATACGTTAAAATAACGAGCTCTGAAGATGTATTGATTTGTTAGGGCTTTTATTTGTCTGCCACACAAGCCCTTATAGTATTGACAAGAAAGTGTCTCCTTACCTGAGACATCGTCATTTCTTTGCCTGCACCATCAACAAAGTGATGGTCAGAGCAATCATTAACCATATCAAATTTCCTGAACAAATCACAACTCTGTGTGGCAGAGGAGCTTTTAAATCCTTCGTTTTCGTCAACGTCAACAGCTTCTTGCTCTGGGCAAGCCGTTTCGAATCTCTGCATCTCAACTGCCACCAAGGGTTTCATGTCTGTGGAGAGACCACAATAAGTTCCAGGTACTCGTTCCTTTTCAAATTGCTCGAGTTGATCTCCATCTTCAGCAACACAGCAAGGATTAGGCATTGATGAGGAAGTGAAAGATCCAAATATCCTTGCTGCTATGCTAGTCAAGATTCCAAAAGTGGACGGATGAAGAAAATACGAAGAACTAGACTCCCAGGGATGGTTATTGCTATCCTCTCCCTTTCCGTTGGGATCTGGTGAATCCTGATAATAGAGCAGTGGTTTAGTGCCAGTCCGTAGAAGGCATGTATCTCCAACAGGTTCAGAAACCAAAAGAAAACAAAACGGAAGGCAAAATAAAAAAAATTATTCGTCCGTGCAATCATACATAAAATGCAACTGCAAATATACAAGTTGAAATAGTGGTTGTAGTTCATTTGATTCAGCAAACATATTGACAGCAAAAGCTGATTGTTCACCACCGAAAAAGCACCATTTACAGTTTACCAGAAGCTTCAGTGTGCATCTGTATAGATGAAAAAAGGACAGAGAGAGAGAAGCCTTACAGCATGGTCAACAAGTTGTTTTCCACGGTCTACTGCCACTTGGCTCAGGTCCTCGACAGCGTGGTCTTGGAGGGGAGTCCCAGTAGAACCCTCATGTTTCTCAGCCCGAAAAATGTCACTTGGAACAACCTGTGTCATGTGAAACAAAACATTATAAATCGTGGATTAGAGTAAACAGATAGTCATCTAAACAGTAGCAAACAAAGAAAGGGGTGGGTAGGAATGAGATCTTCAAAAAAACATGAATGCTGAGAGATAGTACACAAAAGAAGTGTAGGAACATGAAAATGAATGAGAGGTCATACAGTGATTTCAGCGCCAGAAGCAAAAGTCACTTCAATGCCATCATCTTTAAACCCCGATACGAAACCAATACATGATGTGTAATCTTCAGAAGGATGATCATCAACATGGGCTCTAAACACAATTTCTCCATAACAGTATGAGTAATCTGGATGTTCAGCTAATTCATATGCACTTACAACTTCTTCCACCTGATCACTCCCTGTATTACTCATGTCCACAAAAGATTTCCACTTCACCTTGACCGTATGTTCTTTTGCATCCACAGCACTCACAATACCCCATTTTTGGCCACCAGAAGCAGGCGGTTCATCATCATTTGCACTCTTCTCGAGAACAAACTGCCCAGGCCAGAATTCATGAGCATTGACAACATTCACAGGGAGTAGAGACTGTGAGTATAAACCAAATGAGCTCGTACCATCCTGCCATGCAATATCAACTGTAGTCTTCGTTTTCCCAATAACAAATATTTCCTTTGTGTCAACAGCAGGAACTCTGCACCAGTCACCAAGCTGCCAGTTCTCATGCAGAAATAACGGCAACAAGGTCAAGTCATTCGCATGTTGAACAGGTGGAGGAGATGTCTGAGGGCTAACTTCATCACAACCACCAAGTGCACAAGCAAGCCAATCGACATGCACGGTGCCTGCGTTCACAGCAGAGATGGTCCCCATACCGTGATTTTCCTTCCATTCATTGCACAGCCATCGAGTTGACCGAGAAGCAGCAGTGGGGAGCCGAACTTGTACTCGCTGTCCAGGATAATAGGGATACAATGGGTCTTCGAGTAAGTTTGGAGGAAGTGGGACCAGCTTTTCTTGGTCTGTTCCATCTATCTCGCAAATCATTCCATCATCAAACAGCATTGTGATGCTGTCGATTACTTTGTCAACTCTTCCAATCCACGGCCCTTGAATCACGTTGTCTCCCACAGAAATGGACCGGATTTTCGAGAGTTTCTTGGAGTCCATGTTCTTTATGACTCTCCCATAGAGACTTTCAAGGTCGACCAACATTGTCACATTCACAACTCTGCCTGTTTGTCCGGATTTATCAGTTACTGAGCTGACGATGTCTCCACAGACAAAGCCATGCTCGGAGGAGAGGAAATCATCAATCTTTCCTATGCTCTCGTCGAGGCAAGACAGAATGCTGTGTGCTTGTCCTCCGTACCTAAACTCGAGTTCCTCCATGTCCTCGCTGCTGCTGCCACTGTCACTGGAACTCTCCCAATCGGAGTCACTCTGAAGCATGTCCATCACCTACAATAGTGAAAACCATGCTTCGATCAATTTACCAAGAATCGAGAGCGCATAAAGATAGAAATCTAATGATACCAACTGAAGAACAAAAAATTCATGAATGTGGGATTATAAGACAACAGTGCACTGATCATTCAAAATTTGAGCTGGTTCTGCTTACAGCAGGATGAATCAGGTCGACAAGCTACTAAAGGGGGGAAATTGTCCAAATCGAAAAAAATGCTCGGACCTGAATCATTACTAATGACCAATGCTTCACTAGTCAACCCCTATATGATTTGACTTCCTCAAATACCCCATTCAATCTCACCCATTGAATCAACTTTCTTTTTGTTTTTGTTTTGGAGGAACCAAATCCTAAGGCTATAGGTGTCTTAATTATCTCAATAAACAGCTTAGTGACCTGATCCAGCTCAGCCACCACAGCTCTTACAGGACTTGCAGTACATAGCATAGTTTAGAAGTGTTACATTTGCTAATTTCTTATATAAAAAAACCTAAAGGAAATAACTAAACCTTCACCATGCCAGAAATAAATGATAACTGAACAATCTTTAAAGGAGCAACGAAGTTGTTGCCTTGGGTCATGAATTCAAGCAAACCTATTCTGAAGAAGTTATGAGATAAGGTACCTCTTGATTGTTGACTGCCACACTAACTTGATTTCCAGAGCCAATGCCTAGCTACGATATTCTCGATGAGAATACTGGCCTTGGAAGGCAGAGAGACCGAGGGATATACAGTAAACAAGGATAATAGGGAGTCAGCTGAGCACTCCCGAATGCCAAAGGAGATCTGCCCTAGAAAGGGATAACAGGAGTCAAGCTAATGACCCCAAACTGCCAAAGGAGATATGTCCCGGAAGGGGGTAAACTGGGAGTCAACTTGGACTCCCAAATGCCAAAGGAGATTTGCCCAATGAATTGGACTGAAGCTTCTGTTACAGAAAGCTTCTGAACAAGATTCTACCACAAAAGTTGGAATACCAATAAGGCTTTGATGCTGAAGTATGATTTGCCAAGTACACAGCGATCCTTGGTAATTGATATACAAGAGACTCGTTCTCTGACGATATCAAGTCCCTTCTTCTAAATTCACAGCTAAAAGTGGAGATCACAGTAACCCTGCCAAAGAAGATTTGCCCGAAGAAGCTGAATCCAAGGTATAAACTTGAGAAACAAGTTACTTGGTCAGAAGAAATTTAAGTTGCCAAAGAAGATCTGTCCTGCTTGAAGCTGAACTTTTCCAGTAGGAAGATCAAGCTAGAGGAAGACTTGCACCATGTTGAAAGTATTTGATTGACCAGAAGAGAAAAAACACCAAATCTGCTGAAAACACCCTCTTGATCAAGTGACCAAATGAAGAATCAGCAAGGTGTATAATTTCCCTGCAACCTACAGTGCAACATATGAAGCCATATGTCAGTACACAGATACAAGCAAATAAAGAAAGTGATAAAGTCGTAATCTTTTTCTATGGCTAATATCATCTATGCAGAAAAGACTGCAAAATGGGATTGAAACTTGAAAGTTCTCCTTATTAGAGGGAGGAAGATATCAGATATGAACACAAGAAAGAACAACTAACCTAAAAAAAAATCTGTGAACTATAGAGTAATTGAATCATGACTAGTCTTTCCATGAACCCCAAAACACGCAGCTTAATGCTATGGAGTTTACACAAACCACCTTCCCTATCATCTATCAAAAGATAGAACTTGATCATAATTACAACAACTAAGGGCTAAGTTCAGAACAGAAACTTCTATTCCACAAAGAATATGCATGTACTTAGAAATGCATCCTCCCCAAGGGAGAAGGCAGAATTGGCACCAACCCACCAAATGATTCTCTCTAGTAAACATCGCCAAAAGGGTTGATGGACAATGGAAACCAGGAAGGAAAGAAAGAAGGAAGGAAGGAATAACCCATTTACCAATTTGCTGCCTCGAAGTCTTCCAGGAGCGCCACCATAACAACGACCCAAAGTAAATAAAATTAAAAAGTTGAAAACCAACTGGATTCCTCACATCAGTAGGAAGAGAACCACTACTGATCAGCGAAGGGAACTCAGAGAGGCAGGGTCCCTCCCCGAACTCCACCCATCAGGCCATGGAAAAGGGTCGCAAACATCGCGCAGCGAGCCGGCGTCAAGAGACAACTTTTGCTTTGCCTGCTTCTCAACACTGGCTCGCTGGCTACTGTTCGTTCGATGAATAGCTCCCTCGCTCGCAATTTTGGTTTGTTTTGAACTTTGAAGTGCTCTGTTTTCTGGGAAGGTGTTGAGAGAGGCAATGGTGGTGGGTATTGGGTTGGGGAACGAAATGAATATAAGAGGATTTGACTCTTTTGATTATGGGAATAGTGCCGCACAGGAGAATATACCAACAGTATCCACCCCAAATTATCACCATCACAAACAAAAGTTGTATTGTATCGATGACAGTGAAAGACACCGAGGTGGTGCCAGAACAACCATGGTGATAATAAGTTAATAGCAGTTAGCAACAAAGCTTTTGCTAACTACGTTGGTTATATATACTCCTTTAGCTAAATGAATGAATCGGCATTCAATCACATTCCCAATCCAACCAAAACCCTTGTTTTTACCTCCATTATGCCACTCTAATTAGTAACTTAGGATGAATTACATAATTTGGCCGCAATCTTGATTCAAAATTTTTGGGTGATCGGTCATTCAACCAAATGTTCATTTCAGATGTCTTAACGATTACATGTGTTCTAATTACGTATTGTAAGTAAATGGCTTGTCGACCTTGATACCAGTTGACGAGAATCTATCTAATCACATAATTGAAAATGATAACTCCAATCATCCTAAATCTGTCATTCGGGGTGATCAATGTTCTCCATGACTTTATAGACGAAGGATGCAACAATTAACCTAATGAAGCTAAGTTGAATAAGAGTGATTCGGAGAGTTCTATGTTGTTTGTGTAATAGTGCTAACATTCACGAAAATCACGTAAAATCTGGTGCTTGTGTTCTTCGTCTTATACCACATACTAATAATGGATCTTATATCATATACTAAGTTACTAACGCAACCTTCGGATGAAAAGCCACTCATATCGGCTTGAAGTTTGCACGTGCATCAGACATAATGTGTGCATACCAATTGGGTTCACCGATATTCGAACAGAGGGCTTTTGATCCCATGTTAAGAATCAGTTCATCCCAATAAATCGAATTGTTGTGTGAGATTCAATAATAGATTTATATCACATACCAACACACAACTCAATCAGTGATGACTGATGAAGCAACGTCACCACTACTCGAAACAACAACGGAAATCCAGATCAATATTAAAAGTGATTAACCAAATTAAAGCTAGCTACAAACAAGAGTAATATGGCTTCCACATTATCATGTCGTTGGAAAATAGAATAACAACAACCTACTACTGCTTTGGAGGGGAAAAGAAAGTTTCCGCCATTGTTTTTTTTGTCACGAGAAAAATGGCACTAAGGAATATGCCTGGTAATATTACTCGGTCGAACTAAGATGTCCATCGCACTAGCATATACGTGACAACCTTTATGGCGGAGGTTGAGAAAAAGGTTGTTCGAGAACAAGACAGTTGCTACCATGATTCGTCCATCTTACTATGCAACAAACGGAAATTATACCATATGCATTGGCCGACCCATAAATTTCGGTAGGGTATTCAACGATGAAACAAAATTATCAAGAATTGTCAAACAGTCTTGCATTCAAATACTACAATCACTAAGAAAAAAAAAATACAAATAAAATATGTCCCAAAATTGTATCGAGGTTTGTCAATTGACAAAGCTTTGCCCAACCTAGGTCCGTCTCTGACGGTATGGATCGGTTTGACATTAGTATCAATATTACAAATGTTTGTTTTAGATTCGGAGATAGTTATTTGTGATATTGGTATGGCATATCTAGTTTTTTTTTAAAATTTAAAAGACTTGTAATGTAGGGATGAAACCCATGCTTGAGTACCCTGAACTTCTTGATTCTTGCTTATGATCAGCTACTTAATCTAATTATAGCTGTAGGTTTTATCATTGATCTTCTTTTTTCGCAATACATTTTACTATTTTATATGAATGTGTGCCCCTACGGATTAGAGGAAGAGAGTGGGATTGCACACATTGTGAAAAATGAAATCAAGATCTCTTAATTTAAAATTCTACGTTGCAACCATTCTTTCAAACTTGGATTGACCTCACTCACTTTTTTTATTTTGGCCACAACCCAAAAATTGTTTCAAGAGTTTATTCTTTAGATTCTCCCCACCTTCTTCAAAACATGGAGCCGTTCCCATTTTGATTTCCTCTCTGCCAATCAAACACAAAAGGAAACCCTTTTTCCTCCCCATGAAGGAAAAAAAAGGGTTTGTGTTAACTAGAAAGTGACATATTTGATTATAAAAAAAAAAGTGACATATTTACACTTTTGATAATTTGCTTCTGCCACACCACCACCCACTTCAAGCATATAAAAAGACACAATCAATTTGGTTGTAGTAGTGGTGAGAATTGAAGTTTGTGGGGGTGTCAAGTGAAAAGAGTGAATGAGCTATGCTCTCCTTTTTTTTAAGGTTTTTTCTTCTTTACATCTTAGCACTATGGTAGATGTGAATGAAAAGATTAGGGATCTTGAGTCTAAAAAGCACTAATAATGATAGAATATGAAGGGAAATGAAAGTGACCAATTCCTAACATTACCTTTTATTTCCCACCATCCTTCCATATTACAACCAAATGTTGAGCATTAGTTTCTACCCATGTCATTCATTCTATATTTGATTATTTATGTAGGTTTGGCTTATCAATCATTATGGTTCTTGCATATTGTCCCAATTAGCACACACTTATATCATCTATGTACTTTCATATTTGCGTAGCTTGCGCTCATATTTTCATGTGTTCATCACCAAGCACATCTTTTCGTACCTCTTTAAGTAAAAAAAAACATCATAAGTTGATTAGATAGTTAAATTCTCTTATCTCTAGTATACAACTATTTTTGAGGGACCTAGAGACCGATGATGACATATTGATTGATTGGATAATGGTTCACAGGTTGGACGAGAAAAGTAATGGAGGGACGTGCTTAACACATATTAAAAAAAGTTCGAGGATAAGTTAGCCAAATATAAAAGTAGAGAGGTGTGTTTTGTAATTGAAGGAAAGTACAAATTGTTCCATGACTATGTACTCTAGCTTATGTTTCATTGATGTGATTGCAACATGCTCTATGACCGTCCCTACCAACTTCTCACTATTTGGACCCAAAAACCAAGCATCATGCATGTTTATTAAGGAGAGTGGAAGGGGAAAATGAGTAATCACCGAATCATAATATTTTGTACACCGTGTTATTTTTTAATGTCAGATAAAACCCTAGTCATCAAAATAGTTGAGTTAATCATAGACGCTCTTCGAACTTCGTTTAGTTAGAAAGTTAATTTACACTTAAGTACAATCCCCTTTAGATGAGTCACAATTTCGGTCAACCTTATCAAACGTGGGATTTCGTACCGTATGAATTAGTGTCTAACCTTCTCCACGAGTTTTACATAATGCGAGTGACCTCACAACTTTGATTATATTATTGAAGGAGTGGCGGCTAGGAATTGTGGATGGGGTTACAAACTAAGTAAACAATGTTTGGAGGGTGTGGAGTGGTGATGGTGATGCATTATAATGCAAGTGCATTTTGATTGGGACGAATCAAATGACGGATCCAATATATCTAAAGCACCAGAGCAAAGAAAGAAGAACCAACCCTACCATAATTTAGCACTTAATTACTTGTTTAGTGAGAGGGAGGTGGAGAACAATCACCCACCACTACTCTAAGAAAGAGTCGGAACTTTCACTAAAGAAAAGAGGAGAAGAAAGTGGGGAAAGAGGAGGGAGAAGGGTTTTCAACATAGGAGTCGTAGGTGCGACTCGTATTAATATTCTCTATTTGTTTTTCATTGTGTCGAAAGGTTTTCAATACTTTTTATGATTTGTAGAAAGATGTCATTGGAGATTACACACCTATTTATTTTGCTAATGACAAGTCAATTTTTCGGACAACTTTTAAGAACCCTCTGAAAGAATGATATAATATTATTTTTTGAACATCTCTCATACTCAACTGTTGGAATGGAATTATTCTTTACATAATATACAAAAATTTCATTGAATTTTTTGTTTCGTATACTCACGATATAAAATAATAACGGTTTGTACTGAAGTTACTAGACGATCTTATTTACTGTCCCGTTAAACATTATTATGAGAAAGGAACGATTTTGCAACCACTAATCTTTAAATTAGAATAAATCATTATTGGAGAAAAAAGGATGGGAGGTAGAGTGTTCACCCATAGTGATTTTGGGAAACGCCTAGTCACATTTTATGTACATTAGTGATATCCGGTTAGCCGATTATCGTTACCCTGTTAAATTATCTTGAAACCAACTATTAATGGTAATCAATATTTAAACCAATATGACTTTTGCAGGGAAGCTTTTACAATAGGTTAATATCTCAAGTTATTAGGAGAGATTTAGCAAATATAATTTATAATATTTTTTACTAATTCAATTTATTAGAAATGTATAAAAAATTCATATGTACTATGCACCCTGATGTAAGAAATAATATCCAATCATCACATTTAATGTCATAAAAAAAATGGAAACTACAATATAGGAAAGTGCATTTTGAGCTTTGTGGCCTTGTGGCTTTTGTGGATTTTATTTTCTGCAACTTTATCATATTTCTTTGTCCTTTATTAGTTCCAACTTTGCCTTTTGTCCAACTTGTAATATACAAATTCTCTTAGTTTTATTGATAAGATCAAGAAAATGGTATGTGTAAAGAATATTAATAAGAATTATTACTTTGTTAGGAGTACAAGAGATGATCTTTTGGATGTAGAATTGCTGGATCATTGGAATGTATGAAAGATGGATTATGACAAAGCATTTTGAAATGTTGGTATTGAAGTGTTACTTAAATATTAAAGGAATTGTGACAAACTCTACTCTTCCAAAAGACATGGAGTTCCCACGCTAAGAGGATTTATGAAATCCTCAAATTACCACAACACATAATTTCTTTAATTTATCTATTTTCATACACACTTATTAAAAATCAATATCATCATCTTTTTCCTCTAACACAATTTTTAGCACAAAAAATAATAGACTTGTCTTTGAAGAGTTACATATATAATGTTTGTTTAAACCGAAAAACTCTTCGATTAAATCTTCTCTTAAAACATAAACATAGAGGATATTGTTTTGCATGTTTAAGATTCAATTTCATTTTGATTTTATTAAATTAACATGATGAGGGATAAAATGACTCAAAAATTGAATCAGAGCACATGAAATCAAATACACTTTTTATCCCATTACTTTCCACATTCCATTCATTTTCGACTCTCGTCGTGTACAAATTTTCAATTCGATTGGTAATCGGGCTTAGCACACACTCCTTTATCCATCATCAAAACACATAATTCTGAGCAATCCATTGGTCCTCTCTCCAATCTCTCTTTGTCCTTTCTACATATTTGACACCGACTATCCACTGTTAAATTGCTCTTTTGCAAGCACCACTGAATTATTTTATGCAATTGTATTGTTGAAAGAATACCTAAACATATCAGCATGAGCAAGCAAAGTCGAAATTGACATATCTGCGTTCATCAAATTTACCATGAAGATGGGCAACTTTCAGTTAAACCAGCAATCATCTATAGCAAAAGCAGTGGGTGATTAAATATTCATCAAACATGACCAAAGGCTCTAATACTGCAAGCTTCAAGCCTAAGGCTCGTGCTTGAAATCACTAATCAGTATTAGCCAGATAAGGCCAAATCCGTTTCAAGCATCACAAACCCCTAACAGAAGATCAAGGTCTCGTATAAAAAAGGATACTTTATTTTGATCCTCAATTAATCGTCTATTATGGCAAATTCTACTACACTAAACGGACAAAAGCAGTATAGCTACCAAAAGATGCAGACAGGAAATACAGTAGAGTGAAGTAGCTCAAAGGGGAATGTAGTATATTTTCATCAAATCAACCAGTCAACCATCTTCTTGGATGGTTCACTTTGTCCTCCCAGTAGCCTCTTTGCTTAATGGATCTAAAGGTACTCTGCCAAACTAAAAACAGCATTGCAGAACTCTTAACTGACCTCAGAAGCCCAGGGAGCATCACCGCCAAGAAGACAGAATGATTCCTAAGCAGCAACTGCAACCTGTTCTTGCTCCTCAACTGTAGGCTTCGAAGGCTTCGTGGGCTTCGAAGGCTTCGTGGGCTTCGTGGGTTTAGGATCTACTTTGATTTCGGGTTTTGCAATTCCTTGAATGTCAGTGATTCTTAATCTAGTCAATTCCTGGGAACAACACAAAACCACAGTTAAGAGATTGAAGGAAAAGGTATGACCTTAAGAATCAGCGGGAGTATGGTCGTAATGATGCAGAAACTCATGTTTGGCATACCTGACGATGTCCTTTAGTCCGGCGGTAGTTCTTCCTTCTCTTTTTCTTAAAGATGATTACCTTTTCATCTAATGCCTGAAAAGAAGTGTAACAATTACAGATTGCACTATAGATATTTATCAAAGAAAATATATGGTGACTGCAACTTCATAAGTTTCCATAGGGTAACTTCCTTCTACAAAAATATAATCATAAAAAAAAACTTCCTTCTACAGAAAATACTGAAGCATTTCATCTCAAGAACCATTAAAAAGAGTTACAGGAAGTAGAAAGTTGAAAAAGAGGAGAAAGGAGGTTGGGCAATAGGAAGAAAGAAGGTCTAGAGGAATCCCAGCATCCCATATATGAAATGCAGGTGAAATTTCATATTGGTCCAGCAGCCTTTCCAGAAAAGTTAAATTACCTAAATAGTGAGTAAAGTAACACTATCCGTATGAAAACAGTACCCAGTCCCACATAATTCATCTACAACTGAGACCTTCACTTGCCCGGTCACATACAAGAAGTTTATTATTTGAAGAACCCAAAGAGCTAACACAACGGGGAAGCAAATTTAGAACAAACAGGAAACAACTAACAACAGTGCATTACATGAAACAAAGAGGTTTTCCCCTCAGTATAACCCAAGCCAGTGAGAAATATGTAGCGTTTAATTTGATGCGCAAGCCAAATAAAGGAACGCTAGAGATAATCTCAGTTCAGACCTCTTTTTTTTTTTATAGACCAATATTTCTCTCTTTACAGAAGGCAATTGCTTCTGCTCTAGTTTACGATCAACTAGTGATTCACTGGACACAAAAGCGTTCGTTGAATTTCAAAACTATTACTGAGTAAATGACTCAGTGGTCTGATTCTTGAACCCTAACAAAAGCTGGTTGTGTCTTTTATGGAAGCTTGTTCTGGGATGTAGACAGAGAGAGAAAAGGGCACACTTACATGCTCCTCAACAACTGCATGAACAGCTGAATCTGGCACAATCGGTCTACCAACAATTGTTTGGGTTGCTGACCCTAACAATAGAACCTTGGTGAGAATCAACTGCAATAGAATCAAAGAGTGAAGGATCAACTGAAGGCATAGGAAAATAGACCATAAGGTTGAAAACACGTCGGTAAACAATAACATTACAATGAAGATGCATATGAAATGTTTACCAAAACCCATTTGAAAATCAAACATATTATCGTGGTAAGAACTAAAAAGTAAACCACTTGACTTCCAACCTCCCAAATCTAGACTCTTAGCATGAAACATATGCACCCAACAATCACCTCCTAAACAAGAGTATTCACTCTCACATCAATTGTGCCCAATGCACAAACTGAGCTTAGAACAAAAATCCATGACTGAGTAGTGGTAATTTCATCACTGCGATCGTAAGCACCATAGTACCATATCCTAGAAAGATATACAAGAATCCCAACTTTACCTTGTCATTTATATCACAGAACTTCAATTTCTCGGCGACAATAGTATCCCCATTGCTGACCTTAAACTGGTGAGACCCAATCTACATCACAGAAACGCAGCAAAGGCATCAACAAAATCCATCCAAAAAATCCAAAATCCAAGGAAAGAAAGAAGGACCAATGCTAAGAAGGTTAAACCCAAACCTGAACGACAGCGTAAACAGGCTCGTACGGTTTGAATACTTTTTCAGAAGGCCGTAGCTTGCCGACCACTTTGTATCCAATCTCAGCAGCCCTAGCCACCTTGTCTACGGGACCCGGCGGCGGCGGTTTCGGCTTCGAATTAGAATCAGACGACTCCCTAGCTCCCTCCTCGTCTTCATCACTGTAATCTCCTTCACTCTCCTCGTCATCATCCTCGTCGCCGTCCTCTTCGTCTTCGCCTTCGTCATCATCTTTTCGTGAGCTGGAACAAAAATGGCGAGCTCGGTTGCGGGAGAAGAGGCTGCTGCACCAAAAAGTGGCTTCGGAGTCTGGAAGAATGCAATCGGAGCTCGAGCTGATTGCGGCCGTGGAGAAATGATTCGGGAGAATCGAGGCGAGTGATTTCACAGTACAGCGCGGAGCCACGGTGGAGGATGAGGAGATGAGGCGAGCCAGCGAGTGGAGTGAACGTCGATGCGCCATGGCCGGCTGCAAGCTGAAATGGTGGTGAGGGGGTTTAGATCGGAGGGTTTTTGGTTATGTTCGATTCACTGAAAAAGGAATGGACAGGTTAAACAATCCAATTATTGGGGCTTTCTACTGGGCCATAAATTGAATACGTAATGGGCCTTTCTCGAAAATTTCTGAACTTTATATATATGGGCTTTGGCCTCTCCAAAGGGGTAGCCTTCTTCCTATGGTTGTAGCATGTAGCTATACCATTCATGTCAAGTGGCAATATGTTTGCTTCAAGTGAGTAAAAAAAAAGTTACCATATGCCCACTCCCACATTCCCACACATCAAATCCACCCCCTACTCCACATAATTATAACAATAATCTCGGATTTCAAAAGCCACGAATAATCCAAAGTCTTGTAAGAAATTTCTAATTAATTAAGAAAAAAAGGAAAAAATGTACAAATAAACTTCCAATTTACAAGTAAAAATCATCTCAAAGAAACTTGAAAAGTTATATATTTATGAAATGACGTTGTCTGTGTCCTTCAAACTCAAAATCTTTAAGTTCTTGTTTTTCTAGATCAAAGACGATGACGTGTTTTTTTACAACATACATCCTTAGTCTAGCCCGTGGAAAAAAAAATCTCAAATTCCTCAATGATGATTCGATGGTTCTGAATCTGTGCATTGCACGATGCTCCATAACGGAAAAAACTTGATCCAAGATTTCGACGCCCAGCGTTCCAACAATATACATATCTCGTGAGACATGGTCGTGCCACAAGTATCAGAGAAAGAAAGGAGAGCTACTATGGGTTCCTGGTTGAAGAAACATATAGAAATGCCACTCAATTGGCGACCATCATCATCATCATCTGCACATCAACTCTTTCGGAAGCCTCACTGCTAATGTCAAACGAACGAATTAGCATATTGCTTTCAGGGTACTTCTTTTCCCGTCAATACAATTTCCTCTTGGGGTCGTTTGGATGGGGGATTCGATTTAGAGGAAAAGGCACCTCGTCTCGATAGCTTCATATAAATTCAACCGGTTAGGTTTGGTTTTGATTCAAAAAAGGACGAGTACAAAATCTTCAAGCAAAAGGGTTATATGATGATGAAGGTATACAGCTTGAGGGAAAAGTCATGGAGAACTCTGGACGGTTGTGACATAGGAAGACCTTCGGTCGAGCAACTTCCAATTGTTCTCAAACCTCGTGGTGGAATAGCGTGGTGACACGACGTACTAAGAGAGGAGTAACAATATAGAAGAGTTAAATGAAACCAAAGTTTTAAGAGGTCAAGTTTTCTGTGTTTACGATGTGGAGGCCTTTAGGGTTTAGAACTCACCCAAGTCGACTTATCTAGTTGCCTTTCTTGCAATGGGAATATAATTGACGAATAAAATTTGGCGACTTGATCTGGTTGTTAGGTTTAATTCATGGTGTTGATTCGGACAAAACCAAAATCGAAAACTAACCAAATTCAAGAACCAAAATTAAATCGGAAACTCAATAATTTGATTCGTTTCGATCCAAATATCATTATGTCAAATTCAATTCAATATGAACCGAATCATTATCCACCCCTAATACATATTTCAAGCACAATGCATTAAATCAAGCAATAGTTTCACAAAATACATCATATCCTACATAGTGATATTCGTTAAATTCTTTCTCAATCATCTTACATTAGAACAAAAATAGTACACAGTAAAAATATCATTACAATGAGGGAAAAGAAAAGGATAGCTAGCTTTCGTAAATTACATCACACGATTTTCCCTAAGGTTTAATGGCGAAAACAGGATGTAGTGCAGCACGAAGCGTGTAGACGAGTAGCAACAAATAGACTAGCGCAGCCACAAAGCCGGCGACGAGAGAAACAACCAGCTTGTCGCAGTAACGAGGGACTTGCCCGCAGATCGGCAGCCAGCCGGCGTGGCTGTTCCCCTGCTTCCCCACTTGAGCGATCGCCAGCGCGGCAGCGATGCTCGAAGTCAGCAACATTGCCACCACCTGATCGGAAAACCAAATTAAATGAAACAATCCCCATAACATCACTAAACGAACCAAAACTACGTCTTAATCTTAATCTTAATCGTGATTAGTTACCAGATCCAGAATCAGGGTCAATCGCGACAACAAGCTCTTCGAAGCCAACAGAAGGGCTAGAACGGTGTAAAATCCAGCAATCGCTTCTACGACCACGTAATATCTGCAAACATGTATAAACGATTAGTTGTGAGAAGGGATGGCAATTAAACCCGAATCCATGGATACCCAACTCGATTCAAATTGAGTTACACAGAGAATCAGAGTTCAGCGAGCAACTTACTTGAAGGCAGGGGTGTGGGTGAACTTGGCGGTGAACGTCAAGTTCAGGACATGAGCAGTCTCCTTGCTGGTGGCCATGATCACAACTGCAACGACAGTAGCAGCCAGAGCTAGGAGCCTCAGAGTCACGGTCACGGCCTTCCTGATCTTCGCCATGGCTGCAGAGGACCTTAATCTCCACTGAACGATTTGATTCTCTAATGGGAAAGCTTTTAAAGAGCCAATTCTCCCTGGCGATGTGGCAGATGAATTGGGTTGGGATGGACAGATGGAAGGTTGAGGAAGAAGCTCTGTTTCTCTGGAATGGAAGCGCAAAAGGCTTTCTTTGTTTGGTAACCGGTCGACTTATAAAAACAGAGTCAGGGCCGGCCTAGAGGGTGTGCTGGCCCGCCCTCCGGCACAGGGCCTCCGAATATTAGGGGCCTCCACTTAGATCCGTTAGTTACCGATCGTACATTGTAGATTATATTTTTAGTATATGATTGATTGATTATGAGTATGATGACGATTTTAATAGATAATTTTAGCTATAATAACAATTAAAAATGATATCATGAAGACTACGAAAATAAGAAAGATAATAGATAATTTTATGGGTAACGTCTATTTTTTATCCAGACCTTTTTCAGATTCTTTTATAATATCCAAACCTATCGAAATACTAAAAATTAGCCCAATGTTAACTTTCGGTTAGCATTTTTGTTAGTAATATTGACTTGACAACATGATACTGACTTGGAAGAGACACATGAAGGTCAAGATTCCAAAATTTTAGTATTTTAAATAAGAAAAGAGTTACAGAATTATTAACAATAACGTAAAAATGACTAATATTTTGGTGCATTATGAAAAATTTGGCTAATTAATAAATTTTTAATAGGTTTGGATAATATAAAAGAATCTGAAAAAGGTTTGGATAAAAAATAGACATTACCCTAATTTTATTTTAAGCTATGTAGAAAGATATTACAGTCATTTTAGTTTTATTATAGTTAAAAGTCAATTTAGACCACGTCTCAATTTTGGAACAAGGCCCCCACGAAGCATTAGACAGCCCTGGGAATTTGGTTTTGGTTTCTTCGTCAAACTAGAAAGGTGATCATTTATTTCTTTTGTAATCATTTTCTGAGACTATGTATTTTTTTATAATTATTTAATAAATTTTATTTTTAATAAATTTGTGGAGAAAAATTTTAGGGCCACATTTTAAATTTTCGAACAGGGCCTCCGAATATCATGGGACGGCCCTGAACAGAGTCTCATGTTTGAAGGAACTGAACAACGTTCTGCTTATATAAAATAATTCTTAGTTGCCAATCGCTTTCTGGTTCTGGGTTTCCCTTAATGCAATCGTTTAAACAATTGGAGGACTTTGTTTGGGGAAAATGGGCAGATGGGAAAATGGGAAGTGATTAAAGAAATATTTGAGGTTTTGGAGGTGGTACAAATATCAACGGTTTGGTTGAACGACACTCCGGAATCTATACCCAATAATTGTGATCTATAATTATCGGCCATAATATGCAAGTTATCCCTAATTATGTAAGGGTATGTAGCAGGCTACAAATTACAATGTGACTAGGGCTGCAATTAGTTGTGTCGAGGCGAATGGTGATTTAATTTGAGCTTGATTTGTTAATAAATAAGTTGATTTTGAGCTCAATTCGTTTATCAAAATCTCGATTTGTATGATATTTGAGCTCACGAATGCTACTTAACCTCAACTCATCAACTAACTCGCAAGTTCGGCTTGAGCTTAGGTAACCGCCCCGGGACTTTGAAGGGTGGATCCGGGACTAGAATTCAAACTTGGGCCAGACGACTGCCTTGGCCCAAACATCGTTCCATAATCCAAAGCTCAGAGTCAGGGCCCATGTCTTTCAGACAAAAGCGCGAAAGAAGAAAAGGAAAAACGATGGCATAAATAAAATCCAAAAATTCCACGTCAGTTCGTCACACCACTCACCGCCTTCACTAAAACCCCTCGCCGCTTGTTCGTCTATTTTAGTTAAAATCTAGAGCTGCTCCCCTTCCCTTTCTGTCGTCGGGCAGTTCCTGCTCAGAAAACCGATCTCCTCTTCCTTTCCTTTCCGGCGGAAAACCGCCATTATTAGGGTTCCGGAAGGTGTTTCCGCTTGACACTCTGTTGAACTGAAGCGCGAGTAAATTGAATTTTAAAGAGACATAAGGAGAAGAAGCGGCGGGAACTGAACAAATTTCTAGGGGTTTTTTTCCCTCAACTTGTTTGAAAATATGAATCCGATGGACGAAGATCAAGAGTACGATCCCCAGATGAACGAGGAAGACGAAGGCGACGAGGAGATTACTCAGGAAGACGCGTGGGCCGTCATCTCCGCCTACTTCGAGGAGAAAGGTCTGGTGCGGCAGCAGCTTGACTCGTTCGACGAGTTCATCCAGAACACGATGCAAGAGATTGTGGACGAGTCGGCTGATATCGAAATTCGGCCGGAGAGCCAGCATAACCCCGGCCATCAGTCGGATTTCGCTGAGGTATCCCCCAATCTTTAGGGGTTTGGTTATGGTTGTTGATCATAAGTGAGGAATGGGAAATGAAGTGCAAGGTTTATCGTTCTTAATTGTTGTCACACTGAATGGAATTAGATGCAATGGAAGGCTTGGGTAATATGGGGGGACTTCTCTATGGTCTGAACAAAACTTTGGTACCTGTTTAGAGAAACAAAGAATTGCTGGTGTAGCGTGTTTTGGTTTAGGGTTTCTAGGTGTTTTTTGAGAGGCAGAAGAGTTCCTAGGAAATGAGACTTGAATTTGGGGTCTTAGGAGGAGATTGGATGATTTAGAATGCATTGAATGCCATGACCGAGCTTATCATTGTGGTTGATTGAGAGTTTTGGGACTTGCCAGAGTTAGAAGATGTTGATTTTGGTCGGGTTATGTATGGTTTTTGTAATTTGCTCTGACAGAGATGGTTTTCTGCAGACCATTTATAAGATCAGCTTCGAGCAGATATATTTGAGTAAGCCTATGATGACCGAATCTGACGGAGAAACAGCAACACTATTCCCTAAAGCTGCCAGGTTGAGGAACCTAACGTATTCAGCTCCTTTGTACGTGGATGTTTCAAAGAGGGTGATAAAGAAGGGTCATGATGGTGAAGAAGTAACTGAATCTCAGGATTTCACCAAAGTTTTCATTGGGAAGGTGTGTGGATTACAAGCTAAGCTGTTTGTTAAACCTTTGATGAGTATACTGTTGGATGTGCGGCTAACTTCTTTGTTGCGCACATTCAGGTTCCTATAATGCTTCGGTCAAGTTTTTGTACGTTGCACCACAATTCTGAGACAGATCTAACGGAGCTAGGAGAGTGTCCGTTTGATCAGGGTGGGTATTTCATAATTAATGGCAGTGAGAAAGTGCTGATTGCCCAGGAGAAGATGAGCACAAACCATGTTTATGTTTTCAAGAAAAGGCAGCCAAACAAGTATGCATATGTGGCCGAAGTTCGGTCCATGGCAGAGTCTCAAAACCGGCCTCCGAGTACCATGTTCGTTCGGATGCTTTCTCGGACTAGTGCTAAAGGGGTATTGTATTTCGAACTGAATTAAATCTGCTAATGGTTTGGGACTTGTGGTTCTTGGAATCGTGCTTATGATTCGGTGCTATATACAGGGTTCATCAGGACAGTACATTAAGGCTACACTACCATACATCAGAACCGAGATTCCAATCATAATTGTGTTTCGAGCTCTGGGGTTTGTTGCTGACAAGGACATATTAGAGCACATATGTTATGATTTCGCTGATACACAAATGATGGAGTTGCTTCGTCCCTCATTGGAAGAAGCATTTGTTATTCAAAATCAACAGGTACCTAAACTGCCCTTTATCGAAACTTCTTTAGGCTGCTCATTTGGATCGCCTTAAAGATTATTTTCCCTGTTTGCGTCATTATTGGCTGGTAGATCTGTGGCATGTACATGAATGTAGATGGTTTGATGTTATTTAGCCTTAAGGATATAGTTTCTGGAACTAGAATATGACATTGCCGTGTAGTATAGTTTTTCTTTTTTGTCTCAGTTGAAACGATCAACTCATCAACATTTTCTTTTGTTTCACTGTTTGTCATTTTAATATCATTACCCACTTTAAAGAGAAGTGGTTCACGTTTATCATTTGGTTGTGATTAATGTCTGTACATGGTATGCTAATCTTTGGTTTAGGTTGCTCTTGACTATATCGGAAAACGTGGGGCAACTGTTGGTGTTACAAGGGAGAAGAGGATCAAGTATGTCCAGTTTTGGTAAAGTTGCTTGAGAGCTTTTTTGCTGCAACTGTTTAATGTATCTGTTTGTCTCTCAGGTATGCTAGAGATATTCTACAAAAGGAAATGCTTCCTCATGTTGGAACCGCGGAATATTGTGAGACCAAAAAAGCTTACTATTTTGGGTGAGTCTCATCTCAATAAGGCTTCCATGCGTTATTCGAGTTTGTAGTACTAAATTCTCATTTCTGGTAGGTATATCATCCACCGTCTTCTACTATGTGCTCTTGGGCGGAGACCTGAAGATGATAGAGATCATTATGGTAACAAGAGGCTTGACCTTGCTGGTCCTTTACTTGGAGGCCTCTTCAGAATGGTCCGTTTTGGTTTATAAGGCTTGGAGTATGTGTGTGACGACATTAATTATTACTGCAGTTATCAGTTTATGTAACTCATCTTGTTCTGTTGATGCAGCTGTTCAGAAAGCTGACTAGGGATGTGAGGTCTTATGTCCAGAAGGTGTGCCTCATAGTCTTACAATAGTATTGTGTACAAATTACAATGCATAGTCAATTGAAAGATCATTTAACTTTTTGTGTGGCCTGTTACAGTGTGTTGATAATGGGAAAGATGTTAATCTTCAATTTGCCATCAAAGCAAAAACCATCACCAGTGGTCTTAAATACTCACTCGCCACAGGAAACTGGGGACAAGCAAATGCAGCTGGCACCAGAGCTGGAGTATCACAAGTATATCTTCCGAGTTTGCATTGTCTTTGCTGTTTCTTCTTGGGAAGTATTCCCAGCATTATATGGAGGTGATTCTTACTGTCATTTTGTAGGTGTTAAATCGATTGACCTTTGCCTCTACTCTATCTCATCTGCGGAGGTTGAACTCCCCGATAGGGCGTGAAGGTAGCTGGGCAAAACCATTTAATTATGTTTGTGCTGCCTTGTGTCCGAGTCTAGAAGATTTCTGAAGTTTTTATGATCTATTAGGGATAGTTGCAAGTGTTTCTTAACTTGAATTCTGTTCCCATCCATTGTATGTTTAAATAGAGTACTTAATTTTTTACTAGGAAAATTGGCCAAACCAAGGCAGCTCCATAACTCTCAATGGGGAATGATGTGTCCAGCTGAGACACCTGAAGGACAGGTAACATTACATCATTTCAAAACATGTATTTGCTCTTTGGTGAGTTGCTTATGTGACTTTTCTTGCTCTAACTATGCTTGTCTTACAATTTTAGGCTTGTGGGCTAGTGAAAAATCTTGCTTTGATGGTGTATATAACCGTTGGGTCTGCACCACACCCTATATTGGAGTTTCTGGAAGAGTGGGGCACTGAGAACTTTGAGGTTTACAACTCTGAGGAGCTCCCTACAATATGCAATATATTATTTGTTTCCTCATCCGTTGGCTGACATGGTTGCTCTTTCTTCTAGGAAATATCACCTGCTGTTATTCCCCAAGCCACCAAGATTTTTGTTAATGGTTGCTGGGTGGGTATCCATCGAGATCCTGATATGTTGGTGAAGACATTGCGACGACTGAGGAGGCGGGTCAGTCTTTTTCTTTTTTTCTATGCTCTGGCTGTTTGTGTTTGACATTGTAGTTAATCTCAATAAATTAATACCCAAACTAGGATGGTGGTTTCTCAAGGCTCTAAGCCACATCAGTTTATTGGGGGCCTATTCTGCCCTCTTCTACCTCCTTTTGCTTCACTCTTCATTTCTACGAGCTGACTTCAATTAGAAAATAGTGCACAGCTGCTTATAGAGTCTTACTAGAAGGGACACTCGTCCATATGCATCTGTAGTTTAATGACTAAGTGTTAAAATTCCTTCATATGCAGTTTGGTGAAACATTAGGCACAAGTATGCCATAATTTTCTAGTTCATTTATCCATATGTTGTGAACTTTCTGGTTCAATGGTTGTTACTGCTTTCGTTCTGCACTATTGATCTCAAACTGGTTCCTGGCTGTACAGGTTGATGTCAACACTGAAGTTGGTGTTGTCAGGGATATCCGGTTGAAGGAGTTGCGCATCTATACAGATTATGGCCGTTGCAGTCGTCCTTTATTCATCGTGGATAAACAAAGGCTTCTGATAAGAAAGAGGGATATCATTGCACTGCAGCAGAGGGTACACCTTTAGGATTGTAATTTTTCTTTTGAAGATCTATTTACAACTGCAATTCCTTCCATGTGATTCATATCTATTTTCACTGTTTCTGTAGGAATCTCCTGAAGAGGCTGGCTGGATTGATCTGGTCGCAAAAGGATTTATCGAATACATTGATACAGAGGAAGAAGAAACAACTATGATCTCTATGACTATTCATGTAAGTGAAAAATCTTATTTTGGTTTGGAAAAGCAGGCAAACTTCCCTTTAGATAATTTATCCTTACCTTTTGGGTGAATCTAATGAATGGATTTCCTTTAAGGACCTTGTACAAGCAAGAAACAACCCTGAAGAAGCTTATTCTGAGACGTACACACACTGTGAGATCCATCCATCATTGATCCTAGGTGTTTGTGCCTCGATTATTCCATTTCCTGACCATAACCAGGTATGGTTTATGTTCCTCCGAGATTTTACATGGTATCAGAATATGTGTTGTCACATTGTCACTTACTTCTTATGATCAGTCTCCACGTAACACCTATCAATCTGCTATGGGAAAGCAAGCCATGGGAATTTATGTCACCAATTACCAATTCCGCATGGTATGTTTCTGTTTTAGCGTTCTGTTGTTTCTGAGTGCCCTCCATTTTCTTATAATATTAATATCAGCATCTCCTTGTGTCATTTGTGAGGTCAGGACACATTGGCATATGTTCTATACTATCCGCAAAAGCCACTTGTTACTACAAGAGCCATGGAGCATCTGCACTTTAGGCAGCTTCCAGCTGGCATTGTAAGTAGCTCACATCTCATCTGTGGTTTTGATTTCTCTGATCTATTAACGCTGTAGTTGGATTCATCTTCTTTCTCTGTCTCCTCAGAATGCAATTGTGGCAATTTCTTGCTATTCTGGATACAACCAGGAAGACTCTGTCATCATGAATCAATCATCAATTGATCGTGGGTTCTTCAGGTCACTTTTCTTCCGCTCATACAGGCAAGTGCTCGTGTTAATTGTAATCAAATTGCCTTATTGGCCTTTGTTGTAGTATTATAAAATTCTGATGATTTAACCAACTCAATTTTACAGGGACGAGGAGAAAAAAATGGGAACACTGGTGAAAGAAGATTTTGGACTTCCAGACAGGGCTAATACCATGGTTATTGTTTATTTCACCATTTCCCCTTGACATTTATTTTAGTGCTAGATAATTCTTGTATTTAATAAATATACTTATTGTTCTTCCAGTTTCTGGTATTTAATAGACTTCCCCTTTTTCCATAGGGCATGCGGCATGGCTCATATGACAAATTGGATGACGATGGCCTTGCACCTCCTGTAAGTTTGTTTGTGCTTATGGTGTGACTGTCTTGTATTTTGTGGAAATCCAGGAAGTTTTACATCTTTTGCACCTACTTTGCAATTTTTCATTAGGGTACAAGGGTTGCTGGTGAAGACGTTATTATTGGGAAGACCACTCCCATTTCACCGGAAGATGCCCAAGGTTCAAATGCGCGTTACACAAAGCGTGATCACAGCATAAGCTTACGTCACAGTGAAACCGGGATGGTTGATCAAGTAAGCCTCTCTAAGTTGCATGCAGTGCACCTTGTGCTTGATTCTGTTCTTTGCTAAAAACTAAGTCACTTTTCCTGACTGTGTATAGTGAGGTTGTAGAAAAAGTAGAATTGATTAGATGTGGCATACTTTTACGGTTGATATATGATGAGATGCTTGAGAAATATCAGTGGGTATTGGAGAATAGTTATTATAGGGTGTAACCAAAGAATAGATTTTATTTCATAATGCCAAAGTTGGAATTGACATAACAACGGGTGACGTGGCTGTTAATAAATTTGTAAGCTGTACGTTGTGCTTGTTTCTGTTATTTGCTAAAAACTGAGCCACTTTTCCCTGACTGTGTATAGTAAGGTTGTAGAATAAATAGAATTGATTAGATATGATATGACATACTTTTATGGTTGTTCAAAATGTGAGATACTGAGGAATAAGTGGGTATAGGAGAATAGTTACTATAGGGTGTAACCCTAAGAATATATATTATTCAAAATGGCCGTTTGAATTGACATAAACACCTTTGAGGTGACTGTTAATAATTTGTGATTAGTTACTTAAATGTTCACCATAAATTGTTGTTCTAGAAATCAGATGAAGAAATGTGCATGTTTCAACTGGTTATTAATTATGTTTTATCCCGAACAAAACACCCCTTTAAGTGGCAAACTTGCGTACAAAACAATCACCAAAGCCTACAGCAACTACGGTGTAAGGATGATCCTTACGTTGCAGGAAGGCTTTATGATAGATTTTTGTATGTTTGTAGGTTTTGCTGACAACAAATGCTGATGGTTTGAGATTTGTGAAAGTGAGGGTGAGATCTGTCCGGATACCCCAAATAGGGGACAAGTTTAGTAGTCGGCATGGTCAGAAGGGAACGGTAGGGATGACTTACACACAAGAGGACATGCCGTGGACGATTGAAGGCATAACGCCCGATATTATTGTGAATCCACATGCTATTCCCTCGCGTATGACGATTGGCCAGCTTATTGAGTGCATCATGGGGAAGGTTGCTGCTCACATGGGCAAGGAAGGAGATGCTACGCCATTTACAGATGTCACTGTAAGTTTCTGTCATATGCCTTTTGGGAAGATGCCTCCTATCTCGTTTCTGATTTATCAGTCCAATAGTGTCTGGTATAATTAGTAGACATGCTGTTACATATGGGCGTGTGTGTTTCCGTTCTGCTAAAACATATTGAACCTAGTTAAAGTGAAGGAGAATTGTCTTTGCTACTGTGTTAGAGAAAACAGGGTTGATGGGATGGGATATCTTAGTTAGAAATACGTGAGCGAGTCTTGGGAAATGACTACTTCAGAATGGTGAAGCTGGAAGCAATTTTGTTGATTCGAGAGCTTTTAGCTTATATTAACTCGTGGGGTTCACCATGGATAGTAGTTCCAGACATTTAGGTTGAAGAATTCTGTTTGTTTTTTATTTTAAGTCTGCCTATGTTTAGTAACCATATCTTGTAGCCTGAAACAAATGCTCCCTGTATTTTCTTTTCTTTCACATGCTTGATGCTTCTGATACAGTTGCTCTCATATTCACTTATTGTCTGTTTGGGATTTATCATTTATCTCATTTCTCCGGTATTAAGTAACTTACTGCTGGTCCACATTAACTGAATGTTTTCCTCTTTGGAATGGGATGATCTAGGTCGACAATATCAGCAAGGCTTTACACAAATGCGGTTACCAAATGCGTGGTTTCGAAACAATGTACAATGGCCATACTGGTCGACGGCTTACAGCTATGATTTTCCTGGGCCCTACTTACTATCAAAGGTTGAAGCATATGGTGGACGATAAAATCCATTCTCGGGGAAGAGGTCCAGTCCAGATCCTCACAAGGCAGCCTGCTGAAGGACGGTCACGTGATGGCGGTCTTCGATTCGGTGAAATGGAACGCGATTGCATGATTGCCCATGGAGCTGCACACTTTCTGAAGGAGAGATTGTTCGACCAAAGTGATGCATATAGGGTCCATGTCTGCGAGCGTTGCGGACTGATCGCCATTGCGAATTTGAAGAAGAATTCATTCGAGTGTAGAGGCTGCAAGAACAAAACCGAGATTGTTCAGGTGAGCTTCTTTCTTAACCCCTGGAATTCTCCACATTACTTTCCATGACAACATTTTGCCATATTTGATTGTTCTCGACTTTACTACGGTCCATGATTGTGAATGGCAGGTTCACATTCCATACGCTTGTAAGCTCCTGTTCCAAGAGCTCATGTCCATGGCCATAGCACCGAGGATGCTAACCAAGGACATTCCTACTGCTTCCAAAAGCCAAAAGAAGAAAGGAGCATAAGAGGCCAACAGCAGCTTCAATTGATTTTCTTCTATATCCTTGCCCCATTACATAGCCTTAATTGTGGGTAACTGAAGCTCTTAGAACCAACTTTCTTTGGAGTTAGTTTTGGCTAATACTTGCCTTTCTTACTTCCTCCTGGAGAGCTTTCGACCGAGATTATCAGATCAATAGGCGATTGGAAAGAGAAGGCTGGGACTTTTCTCCGAGGCTGAACGGTCAAAACGTCCTGCGCTGGTGGCGACTTACTGCTGTTCATAGGCAGTTCTTGTATTCATGTATTGTTTGTATTTTTCTCTATTATCACGTATGTCTAGCTATCCAATGAACCATTACTGAAATAGATCGACTGTCTGAAGAAACACTCAATTGCAGTGACGAATTCGTTGTAATCGTCGATGAAACTTGATTCCACATGATGAAATGAAAAACCCTAAGAACTATGATCGGATTAACATCGATGATTCTACGATTTAACACGAGAGGCGGTCTCCATCCTAAAGCCTATTCAAGAACACCACTCAAGGTGATCATTTTCCCTAACAAACAACCTGCAAAAGATATCCACCATAGCTAACTAATTGCTAAAGAAATATAACAAACTGGACAAAAGAACCGAACCCATCGCATCAGTGGTTCAATGTGCATGGGTTTCACGTCCCGATTCGGCCGGCCGGTTTGGTCGGGTTCGGGCCGATCTTCGGGTCACAATTCCCACCTACTTCAACTCAACTACGGCCTACTTCTTCTCCTAGTAAGGCGGTGGAGGCGGCGATCTGGACGAAGACTGTCTCCCGTTCGGCGGCCACATCATCTCGCTTCGCGGTGGGGATCGCGAGGGCGGCGGCCCTGCTCTGCTGTTCGGCGGCGGCGGCGGCCACATCATCTCGCTCCCCACGTGTCGCCCCCTGCTGGCCGGCGGCGTGACGTCACCCCACATAATCTCGTTCCCTCCACCGGCAGCAGCAGCAGCTGGTGGTCTGATATTGGCCGGCCAAATCGCCTCGCTGTACGCCGGCTGCTGCATCCCGCCATCCCCAGCCGAATCTCCGCCTCCGCCGGCGCCCGAAATCGCAGGCGAAGAAGCAACCGCTTCTCCACCACCGCCGCCGCCGCCGCCGCCGGATCCGGAGCTCCTCACTTCCTGATCATCCAGCCTGTGAAAACTTGGACTGCTAAACGTCGCCCCGATGATGAACACCGTCCCAGCAGCCACCAAACCCCCAGCCACAATGCCGCCGACGATCTGCCCCTGCGGACCCGCGAGCGAAATCGAGAACGCGTTCGGATTCGGCACCGCCGCCGCCGCGCTCTGTTGTGGGAAGAAAGTTGCCGAGACTGAAAGAATATCGAACCTCCCGTGGAAGGTCACAGTGGCGCCGGGGGTTGTGGACGGCTGACGGAGCGTGACGTTGCCGACGGTTCCCGACCCCGTGAGCACACACAGCCCGATGCCCTTACGGCGGCAGAATCGGGAGACCGACTCGACGACGTCGCATCCCGCAGGGATCTCGAGGATGTACGGGCTCATGGGCGGCGGGTCGGATTCGGAAGGCTCGCGGGTGATTATGATTGGCGGCTTGGGCTTGTTCTTGGACCCCGGGGGCCGGCCCCTGGGCCGGCGCACGACCTCGATCGTCGCGCCGTCGCCGCCGCCGCCGGCCGAGTTGGGTTTGGAAGAGGAAATTGGCTGTGGTGGTGGAGGAGGAGTCGGGGAGCGGCGCGGGTCATCGGAAGAATCGTCGAGGTGGAAGTGGTGAGTGGGGAAAGGGAGTTGGTGATGGTGAAGCTTGGAGAACATGTTGTTGGTTTCATGCTTTGAGGAAGGCGGTGGAGGAGGATGGTGATGTGGGTGGTGGTCTAGATATTCTCCTTTCATGGCTGCTTTTCTTTTTTAGGGTTTTTTCCTTTTCTGGATATAGATGGAAAGGGATGTTTGGATTTGGATTTTGCTTATCTTCTGGAGGTGGGTTTTTTTTCTATTAGTTTTTTTTTGTTTTTGTAGGGTAGGAAGGAAGGAGGATGGGATTGGGGATAAGCTTTCCTTCCTTGGGGAGATGAGAATGTGAATAAATAAAGATATGGGTTCTTGATTGAAGATGGGTATAGTAGAAGAAGGTTGCAGAAGGAAGCCAGGTTAGAGAGAGAGAGAGAGGGAGATGAGAGAGAAAGCTGCTGGAAGATAGTGGTGTGGAAGAAGGCGATTGGAGGGCGCGGTGGGAATTGTTTAATATATAAAAGGAGGTGAGGGATGGGCCGGTTGTCCGGCGGTGGGGCCGGCCGACGGGAAGTGGGCTTCCCGGTGGATGGTGGAAGGGGTAATGAAGAAGTAAAGTACAGAGGAGAGTTCGGTTTTGGACCGGTCTAATTAATTATGGCTTCCTCGAAACCGCGGCGCCGGCGGTGGAGTCCTTGACTTCCGGCGGCGGAGTCTTGGTTTCCGCTGCTAATTGGAGACAGGAGTGCTCCATTCTCGGCGCCTTCTTCCTCTCCTCCGGTGTAGATAATAATTCAAGGTTGGCTTCTCATTTCTGCGATGGGATGGTTTTGAATCATCGATTTCAAGGTTCTAAATTGATGCACTCCGACTGTTCGACGAAATGCCCCACAAGAGCACTGCTTAGGGACCTTGGTAATTTCTTCTTGCCCTTTGTCTCTTTCGACTGTTCAAGTGAGTGAGGTGGGGAGTCGTTTGTTGGAGCTCTGTTGTAAGAAGTGAAGGAGTTCCATTGATTGATTCCTTTCCATTGTGCAATTGGAGAAATTTCTGTGGGGTTTCCACTATCTCTTATCTCTTCGACTGACAATGGACCTCTTTTTTTTGACAGGGTATGGTGTGAAGGATGATGTTATCTTCAATCATCAACTGCTTTGAGCTTTCATTATAATCAACTTCAGGTTCACTAGCAACCAAAGGTGCTATATCTTTTTTCTGATGTTGTCTCCAGAATATAGCTAAATGATGGTAAGATCATTTTGATTTAAGATTAATGTAGGGTTCATAATGTCTAATTCCACTCTTTACAGGTATTGATACTTTGTGTTTCTTATGTTCTTCATTAGTTCAAGTCTTCTGGGATGCTAACCGATCGACCTTTGTTGTTGTAGGTTCTCGATATATTAGGTTTGGGGCTCTCCCGTTTCAGATCGGCACTGGTGACATTGAGCATGAAGAGGTATAAGTGCGTTACTTGCTAGTTGCTATGTTGTTGGATGTGGGAATGGAATGGGCCAATTTTTATGCAAATGCGAAATGTTTAGATTCATTCCTAAAACAGCATGCTGTGCATTTTGGGAAAATTGAAAGAGATGGTACTGGTTCCGCTGAATCCGTGATCTGTAGCTTTCAATATTCAAAGAAAATGGCCTTTCGTCGGTCAAAAAATTACGAAAATGCCATCCGAAAATAAATTGGCCAAAATCGGTGCTTAATGGGCTTATCATCCGTGGAGAATACGATCAATAGACTTCATTATTGGTGGAGAATAGCTTCAGCCTGATTCCGTGATCTGTAGCCTCCAGAATCGAAAGAAAATGACGTTTCGGCAAATTCGCTCGAAATCTGTGATGAAACCCCTTTGGAATTTGCCAAAAATTGACGCGGAATAAATCCGCCCAAATCGGTGCTTAATGGACTTAATCATCGTTGAAGAATAGCCTCAAACCGAATTCGTGATCTGAAGCCTTAAATATCCAAAGAAAATAGTATTTCGTCGCCCAAAAAATTACGAAAATGTCATCCGAAAATAAATTGGCCCCAAATCGGTGCTTAATGGGCTTATCATCCGTGGAGAATAGGATCAATAGACTTCATTATCGGAGTAGAATAGCTTCGGCCTGATTCCGTGATCTTTAGCCTCCAGAATCGAAGGAAAATGACATTTCGGAAAATTCGCTCGAAATTTGTGATGGTACCCCTTTGGAATCTGTCAAAAATTGGCCCGGAATAAGTCCGCCCAAATCGTTGCTAAATGAACTTGATTATCGTTGAAGAATAGCCTCAGACCGAATCCGTGATCTGTAGCCTTCAATAACCAAAGAAAATGGCATTTCGCCGTCCAAAAAATTACGAAAATGCCATCCAAAAATAAATTGGCCCAAATGGGTGCTTAATAGGCTTACAATCCGTGGAGAATAGGATCAACAAACTTCATTATCGGTGGAGAATAGCCTTGTCCTGATTCCGTGATCTTTACCCTCCATAATTGAAAGAAAATGACAATTCGGAAAAATCGTCCGAAACTGTGATGGTATTTTTTGGAATCTGCCAAAAATTGAACGGGAATAAATCAGCCCAAATCGGTGCTTAATGGACTTAATCATCGTTGAAGAATAGCCTTAGGCCGAATCTGTGATTTGTAGCCTTAAATATCCAAAGAAAATGGCGTTTTGTCGCACAATTTTTTTTGAAAATCCCATCCGAAAATAAATTGGTCCATATCGGTGCTTAATGGGCTTATCATCCGTGGAGAATAGGATCAATAGACTTCATTATCGGTGGAGAATAGCCTCGACCTGATTTCATGATCTTCAGCATCCAGAATCGAAAGAAAATGACATTTCGAAAAAATCGCCCGAAATCAGTGATGTACCTATTTTGGAATCTGACAAAAATAAACCCGGAATAAATTCGCCCAAATCGGTGCTTAATGGACTTAATCATTGTTGAAGAATAGCCTCAGATCGAATTCATGATCTGTAGCCTTCAATATCCAAACAAAATGGCCTTTCATCGCCCAAAAAATTACGAAAATGCCATCCTAAAATAAATTGGCCCAAATTGGTGCTTAATGGACTTATTATCCATGGAGAATTGGATCAATAGACTTCATTATCAGAGTAGAATAGCTTTGGTCTGATTCCGTGATCTATAGCCTCCAGAATCGAAAGAAAATGGCGTTTCAGACAATTCCCTCGAAATCTGTGATGGTAGTACCCCTTTGGAATCTTCCAAAAATTGACCCAAAATAAATCCACCCAAATTGGTGCGTAATGGACTTAATCATCGTTGAAGAATAGCCTTAGGCCGAATCCGTGATATGTAGCCTTCAATATCCAAAGAAAATGGCCTTTCGTCGCCCTAAAAATTGCGAAAATGCCATCCGAAAATAAATTTGCCCAAATCGGTGCTTAATGGGCTTATCATCCGTGGAGAATAGGATCAATAGACTTCATTATCGATGGAGAATACCCTCGGCCTTATTCCGTGATATGTAGCCTCCAGACTCGAAAGAAAGACATTTCGGAAAAATCGCAGGAAATCTGTGATGGTACCCCTTTGGAATCTGCCAAAAATTGACCTAGAATAAATCCGTCCTAATTGGTGCTTAAGGGACTTAATCATCATTGAAGAATAGCCTCAGGCAGAATCCGTGATCTGTATTCTTCAATACCCAAAGAAAAAGGCCTTTAGTCGACCAAAAAATTACGAAAATGCCATTTGAAAATAAATTGGCCCAAATCGGTGCTTAATGGGCTTATCATCCGTGGATAATAAGATCAATAGACTTCATTATCGGTGGAGAATATCCACGGCCTGATTCCATGATTTTTAGCCCCCAGAATCGAAAGAAAATGACATTTCGGAAAAATCGCCCGAAATCTGTGATGATACCCCTTTGGAATCTTCCAAAAATTGACCCGGAATAAATCCGCCCAAATCGGTGCTTAATGGACTTAATCATCATTGAAGAATAGCCTCAGGCCGAATCCGTGATCTGTAGCCTTCAATATCCAAAGAAAATGGCTTTCCGTCGCCCAAAAAATTAAGAACATGTCATCCAAAAATAAATTTGCCCAAATCGGTGCTTAATGGGCTTATCATCCATGGAGAATAGGATCAATAGACTTCATTATCGGTGGAGAATAGCCTCGGCCTGATTCCATGATTTGTAGCCTCCAGAATCGAAAGAAAATGACATTTCGGAAAAATCGTCTGAAATTCTTGATTTTACCCCTTTGGAATCTGCAAAAAATTAACCCGAAATAAATCTGCCCAAATCGGTTCTTAATGTATTTAATCATCGTTGAAGAATAGTCTCAGGCTGAATCCGTGATCTGTAGCCTTCAATATCCAAAGTAAATGGCCTTTCGTTGCCCAAAAAATAATGAAAATGTCATCCGAAAATAAATTGGCACAAGTCGGTGCTTAATGGGCTTATCATATGTGGAGAATAGGATAAATAGACTTCATTATCGGTGGAGAATATCCTTGGCCTGATTCCAAGATTTTTCGCCTCCAAAAACTAAAGAAAATGACATTTCGAAAAAATCGCTCGAAATTTGTGATAATAACCCTTTGGAATCTGCCAAAAATTGACCCGGAATAAATCCGCCCAAATTGGTGCTTAATGGACTTAATCATCGTTGAAAAATAGGCTCAGCCGAATCCGTGATTTGTAGCCTTCAATATCAAAAGAAAATGGCCTTTCTTTGCCCAAAAAATTACGAAAAATGTCATCCGAAAATAAGTTGTCCCGAATAGGTGCTTAATGGGCTTATCATATGTGGAGAATAGGATAGATAGACTTCATTATCGGTGGAGAATATCCTTGGCCTGATTCCATGATTTTTAGCCTCCAGAATCGAAAGAAAGTGACATTTCGGAAAAATCGCCAGAAATCTGTGATGGTACCCCCTTTGGATTCTGCCAAAAATTGACCCTGCATAAATCCTCCCAAATTGGTGCTTAATGGACTTTATCATTGTTGAAGAATAGCCCCAGGCCGAATCTGTGATCTGTAGCCTTCAATATCCAAAGAAAATGGCTTTTCTTTGCCCAAAAAATTACGAAAATGTCATCCAAAAATAAATTGGCCCATATCGGTGCTTAATGGACTTAAAATCTGTGGAGAATAGGATCAATAGAGTTCATTATCGATAGAGAATAACCTCGGCCTGATTCCGTGATTTTTAACCTCAAGAATCGAAAGGAAATGACATTTCGGAAAAATCGCCCATAATCGTTGATGGTACCACTTTAGAATTTGCCAAAAATTGACCTAGAATAAATCCGCCCAAATTGATGATTAATTGACTTAATCATCGTTGAAAAATAGCCTCACGCCGAATCCGTGATCTGTAGCCTTCAATATCCAAAGAAAATGGCATTTTGTCGCCCAAAAAAAAATGAAAATGCCTTCCTAAAATAAATTTGCCCAAATCAAAGCTTAATGGGCTTATCATCCGTGATGAATAGTATCAATAGTCTTCATTATCGGTGGAATTTAGCCTCGGCCTGATTCCTTGATCTTTAGCCTCCAGAATCGAAAGAAAATAGCATTTTTGTAAAATCGCCCGAAATATGTTATGTTACCCCTTTGGAATCTGCAAAAAAATTGACCAGAATAAATCTGCCCAAATCGGTGCTTAATGGACTTAATCATCGTTGAAGAAAAGCCTCAGGCCAAATCCGTGATCTGTAGCCTTCAATATACAAAGAAAATGACATTTCGTCGCCCAAAAAATTAAGAAAATGTCATCTGAAAATAAATTGGCCCAAATCGGTACTTAATGGGATTATCATCCGTGTTGAATAAGATCAATAGACTTCATTATCGGTGGAGAATAGCCTCGGCCTGATTCCGTGATCTTTAGCCTCCAGAATCGAAAGAAAATGGCATATCGGAAAAATCACCCGAAATCTGTGATGGTACCCCTTTGGAATCTGCCAAAAATTGACCTAGAATAAATCCTCCCAAATCGGTTCTTAATGGACTTAATCATCGTTGAAGAATATCCTCAGGTCGAATCCGTGATCATAGCCTTCAATATCCAAAGAAAATGGCCTTTCGTTGCCCAAAAAATAACGAAAAATGCCATCCGTAAATAAATTGACCCAAATTGGTGCTTAATGGGATTATCATCAATGCTAAATAAGATCAATAGACTTCATTATTGGTGGAGAATAGCCTCGACCTGATTTCGTGATCTTTAGCCTCTAGAATCGAAAGAAAATGGCATTTTAGAAAAATCGCCTGAAATTTGTGATGGTACCCATTTGGAATCTGCCAAAAATTGACCCAGAATAAATCCGCCCAAATCGGTGCTTAATAGACTTAATTATTATTGAAGAATAGCCTCAGACCGAATCTGTGATCTTTAGCCTTCAATATCCAAAGAAAATGGTCTTTCGTCGCCCAAAAATAACGAAAATGTCATTCGAAAAAAAATTGGCCCAAATTGGTGCTTAATGGGATTATCATCAGTGCTAAATAAGATCAATAGACTTCATTATCGGTGGAGAAAAGCCTCGGTGTGATTCCGTGATCTTTAGCCTCCAGAATCGAAAGTAGATGACATTTCGGAAAAATCACCC